GTTAAATCAATGATAGAAAATTTTAACACTCTTAAACAAATGTTTGTAGCAGCACCGTGCAGAGCCCCCCCAGCACCGTTTTAGAAACTCCTCCATTGTCCAGGGTAAATTTCATTGTATTTATCTATTTTCAACATTTCTTTAAGTTTGACATAAAATACCAATTCAATTCTTTTATAAAATTATAACTGTTGGAAATCCTGTATTTTTTTATATGCACAAGATTAAACTGAAACTCAAGTTTTCAGTTTGATGCAAGAACTCAGTTCTTTTCCCAAATACTTAGTTCCACATTTTATTTCTTCATCTCAACCTTTAAAAATGGATTTTACACAATCTGTAAATGTATGTTAGAATTAGATTCATAAAATGTTGATAATGTGTGTAAGGGTAAAATCTAAGTTATTTCTGAGAGATATTTTTGATGTAAAATATGATATTTTTGATAGGGTAAAATAATATTGATAATAAATGTGGATATTTTGTCAAATTCTCATAAAAATTACTAATTTTAAATAAAACGTAAAATATTATTTGATTTCAAAATTTGAAATCTGAAAAATTTTCATTCTGTGGTTTTGGTCATTATTATTTCAGGCTAAAAATATTTGGCTCAATTTTTTTTTGTTAAAAAATGTAATACTTGATAAATGTTTAATAGGTTTTCTTTTTAAAATTGGAAATCTCGTATCTTAGTCCTCCTGGTTGTGGTCCAATGTTCAAATACTTGGTGGAGAAACACAAGGAGCTAGAAGCTGTCAGTAAAGAGTTGTGGGGTGAGAGGAGTAGAGGATGAGGAGGATATTGTGCTGACTATATTCTCCAATCTTAATCTAAGATCTATTATTATTCTTTATATAAAGTCTTTAGGAGTATTATTCAGTTGTCTCCCCAGCACTCTTCCCAACTTAGAGAAGCTGGTGCTGTCTGGTTGGTTGTGGTTATCAAATCAAGGACTTAATGAGATATTAAACAGATCCAGGAGAAATCTCACAGTATTAGATTTATCTCGTTCTAACATTACGGGGGTTGGAGTAGAGGAAGGAGTAAACTCTCTTTCAAACCTGGAGGTGCTGAACCTGTCTTGGTGTTTGAATCTGACAGATGGAGGACTTAAGGAGGTTTTAAGAGTTTCTGGGTCTAAACTCAGAGTACTAGGTGTATCCTATACTTATATAACAGGGCAGGGATTCAAGGATGGAGTATCTCTCCCTATGCTGGAGGAACTGGACCTGGAAGGGTATAGACAACTGACTTATTCAGGTCTCCTGGAGATACTGAGTATCTCAGTGAACAGATTGAAGAATATGCTTGTGACCAGAAGAATATCTACTGCTTATAGAATGAAACTCTCTTCTCAATATCCTTCTGTTCAATTTTACTATTTGTAAATCGTGTAGACAGATAATGAAGAACTGAAGAGGACACCATGATATACAGATTAATGTTTGAAAGTTTTCTATCGACAAACTATAATAATTAATCTCTTTATAATTAGATTCAATGTATCTATTAGAGACTTAATATTTTATTCAAAAGTTTCTCTTGTAGAAACCATGTTTACTTGATTTTCAAGATGTAAATTAATCATTCTTAAATAGTTTCTTTAACAGAAATGTTAATTGTTTTATTTTCTTAATAATTCAATCCAGGCTGGTATAATAAAGGGTTTTTGTTTTGTCTTAAGTTTGTTTTGTATTATCTTTTGTAACCCTTGTATCTCTACCTTAATACAGAATAGTTCAGACTTTTAACAAGAATATTTTATAAATTCATTTATTTTCCATTTTGTTTGTTGGGTTTGTGAATTTTTTCTTTTTTAACAAAACCCACAATTTTTCTGGTAAATTAAAAAACTACAGATTTTATTTATTTTTACGTTTTGGAGGATTTGACTTAAAGTGTAACTTATCATCAGTTTCAAATATTTTCGTTTAAACTATAATCAAACTTTTTTCCGTCAAAAAAATAAAAATAAATGATAAGTTACTCCAGTTCCAAATTTTATCCTGAAATTTTTTTTTAATATTTTCTTTTTATTAAAATCAAAATGATGGTAAAATATTTTCCGCAGTTCTAACCTGAACCTGGAGATATTCAGCAGGTCTAATCTGCTGAGAAAAGGATAAAGAAGCCAAGTTTACTGAAGTAGGATAAGGTTGGGACGCGAAGAACCAAAAATTTGTTCAACTTTGTATACCATTTAGCAGATTTAATCTGTACCTGGACATTGAGATATTTACCAGGTCTGATCTAAACCTGGAGATATTGAGATATTCAGCAAATCTAATTTAAACCTGGAGATATTGAGCTATTGAGCAGATCTAATCAGAACTGGAGCTATTGCACGTCATGTGTAATTATATATTTTATTCTGGTTCAAATTGCATTTATATTTTAACTCTGAACATATTCTGAAATTTATTTTACTTCTTCATAAAGCTGTTACTTTGGAGTAATTGTTTTTTTAAAATGTTGAATATTTGATTTATTCTACTAAACTAAATTTACATTGAACCAGGGCAGTCTAATAAAGATCTTGGCCAATAAGTATAAGGGGACAACCTTTATTTGTTTTGACATTAATGAGTGTCTTGCAGAGGATGAAATCCCGCAAGAGGATTATGAAATCTGCAAATCAGTGGTGACGGATCGTGGAACCAGAGAAGGCCTACTCAACTTCCTCTCCTATTAAACACTCATTATTTATCATGTAATTATATCTAGAAGCTATAAATGTACTTCTAAAGTCTCAAACTTATTTCTTACTACAGTCACGATACAAGTTCTATTTCTCTCATAATTTCTCTTTTTGTTATTCTCCTATTAATGTAATATTTAAATTATGAAATTTGAAGTTAAAGCTTAGACTTTTCAGAGAAAGTAAGAAGAAAATGGAGAACAAACTGTCTAGCTTGGAGCGAATGGTGGAGTATGATATTATAGTTATGCTCAAGCATTTAACTAAAACGGACAAAATGTCATGGAGAGCAACAAGTACAACCTTGCGGAGACGGATTGTTGAGCAGGAGAAAACTTTCAAGGTTTGGAGGATACATGGAGATGTTGATTCTACAAGACTGAGAAAATTATCAGACAAGATACATACTACTCAAGGTAACACATTCAACCGGGAGTCCATATTGCAGACTTACAATTTGAAAACTCTTGAAACAGAAATTATAACATGTTCAACAACCAACATATAAGAGTCTCTTTAAAAAACATGCCTTAATTTTGAACCGAGTTTGGACGTAAAATATATTATTTTTGATCTAATGGGATCAATAAAAATCTCGTTTTACATTCATACTTACTTTTATACACGTTTGAAGATTGGGAAATCCTCTGATACATTTCAGCTTTTTCCGACAAAACCCTTAGTTTAAAAAAGAAAATATAAAGTTTGAAAATCCTTTGATGTTAATACGAGACCAACAACTTCCCAATAAACTTAAATGGTGTATGTTTGTTAATTTAGATCTAAAAAGATGTTGAGTCTTTTACAGTGCGCATGCTTGAAACTATATGATTGCCACATACTACTGTGACTAAAATTTGCGATTTTTTCTCCACAAATACCTAAACAAAGACCATAAAAAAGGGGTAGCAGAGCCCTTTTTTTAATTTTCAGTTTAAAAGTACCCTTTTTAATTGACTTTTTCACCTTATCTTTTTGAATAGAGGAAAATCTCCAGCAGGAAACGAGGACGCCACTTGTAGATATATCTGTCTAAAAGTAAAAGTTATATTTAGTTTTTTTTAACAATTTATTTAGTACATTGTCTCATTTAAAAAAAAAGAAAATAAGACCAACATCAACTACGTTTCCAATAGAATTTTCAAAATCTACAAAATTCTGACAGTAGTTTTCATGATTTTTTGAAGAAAAACTTTTTTTTTCTCGTATACATAACATAAAAGTTCAGGTGTAAAGTGCATGGTTTACCTTTTTATATCAGCTTTAGAAATATATACTTGGTGTCCCAAATAACACGCTATTAGGACTTTGTCCTAGATTCGATGTACTTTTTAGTCAAAATTTTTATTTAAATTGCGTTAATTTACGTATGCCATTCAGTACAACTTGCACATTTAAACTTTGTCTAGTCAAATTCCTACCTCAGTTTTATTTGCATTGATTAATTTGTTTCATTAAGTACATTATGCAGTATACATTGTTGATACTATAGTACGCATATAGTGTTATCATGCATAACCAAAGTGATAAATTAGCAACAATCCAGAGGATATAATGCCATGCGTACGACAGAGATGGTGCTGTTTGCACCTTTTCTCAAGACCTCAAAATTTATACCTGCCTGCATATCTATATATATATTATCTTTGATATACACCCATTTTGTTGAAAATTGTTGAAATTAAAGGTCTGCTCTGGCCGCAGCGCTTGGTCAAGAAATTGTTCTAACCTTCAAATAATGCACATTAAACGACCTAGCCGCAGTGCTCACCCAAGAAACTGTCCTAACCTAACCTAACCCTCAAATAAAACACAATAGACATTTTTTTGGTTAAAAAGAGTTGAAATTTTGGCCATGCACTAAAATAATAGGAGGGGGGGGAGCCAGACCAATCCTTTACTAGTTTTTTTCTAAACAGCCAATAGAATCATGAAACTTTTTGTATCAACCAATAACAGACCAATATTTGATGTACAATCGTTTATTTATCCAATGAAACAATGTATGTCAAGGAATTTCCGTATCTATAGTATGTTATCCTTTATATATTTGTGCGCAAGTGCAACCCCTTGTGATTCTTTTAGTATAAAAGCTTTGTAAACTTTGTATATTGTCACTCTATTCTCCACCTTTGTGAAATATATTCTGACAGATAAAAGTAAGTCATTTTTACTTATAGAGTCTATAGTCAGAAATTGTTCATCTTTGAGAGTATTGTAAAAAGGAATGTTACAGTATCACAAATCAAATCTCTAGAAACATATCCTGGGAACACTAGCGAAAAATCAGAGTTTTTAAGCTCTCCGCATTGCTTAACCCATTCGTGACGGGACGGTCAATTTTGACCGGGTAAGGTTTTTAATTATTAGCGCCTTCATTTTTAAACCAAATGTCGTCTCGTTTTATTCCAGATCCTTCCTACATATATGCCGAGTTTTGCCAATAGGTGGCAGGTCAATAGGTTATACCGGCTTCAGTTGGGAGGCAAACACAATGTCAACATGTTTAAATTCTGAAACCTCTGGGGACAACAGGTATAAATCAATGAAAAAATGTTTTTAAAAATTATTTGTTTATATGAAAAGTGTGCATTTATATGTCAACTTTATGCTAATGTTATGTTCAGTGTAAAAAGTTTATGTTTACTGCTCTTTTTTGTCTTTTTTCTGCCCAGTCAAAATTTACCGTCTCGGACCAGGTCAATTTTGTCCGCATGGTCAAAAATGTCTGAATTGGACCAGGTCAATTTTAACCTATCTCCATAAAATGTATTTATTATTTCTTTTTTTGTTCAGGAAAAAGCGGAAAAAGCTCACAACATTCGAGATATCTCAGTTGATAGAAAATGAGGGGATTTTTGGTGACGATAGCGACCTGGACCCTGACTATATGGAGCCAGAGTTCGACCCCAGCAGTGAGAGCAGTGGCGAGGAATGGCAAAGGGACAATGGCAAACAGGACAAGGTCGTCAGGCCTGGCAAGAGGTTTAAGTTGAAAGTGTACTGTATACCAAAAAGATAGGCTTATATTTATTTTTTTGTTTTTATACATATATATTTTTTATTTTGACATTATTTATAATAGGCTTGCAGCTGTCCCTGAAACCAGAGTCTACATGGACCCCCCCATTGAGCTTCCAGAAGCCAACACGGACAACGACTCTGGTAAATAAACCTACTAATTATGTGTTTTTATAATTTGTTTTTATGCACACACTGTACAGTATACACCCCCTTGTCTAGTATAATTAATATATTCTTTAGAGGCTTTTAAAAACGACATAAGAACCTCGCCGTTGACTTTAATTTGTACGGATAGTAGAGTGAGCTTTTTTATGTTTAATCCCAATGTTCAAAATTCTAGTAAAAAACTTATCCGCTGGTCTCTAAAAATTGCACTTTCTTACAAAAACGTGCGTGTTTTGAATATTTCCGGAAGAGATAATATTGCTGATTTTTTAAGTAGACTAGGATTAAGTAAAGAAACGTTTTTTTCGCGAACTTTATGTCCGCTCAAAATAAATCATGAAGAAAGACAAAAACTGCCAGAAATCTTAACATGGGAAAATATTGTTGAATTTTGTGAAAGTAACCCAAAATTAATAAAATTTTCAGAAAAGAAAATAGACACAAGAATCCAAAACAATCTTTACTTAGATTTGGATCAGGAAGAAAACGCACATAACATCCAAAGCTTAAAAGTTTTTGTAGACCAGACTAATTTCCTGGATAGGTTTCTTAGTAGAGAGGAACTGATTAAAAATCAATTTGGAGAACATAAATTAGAGGGTGCAGTAGAAAGAAATGGTGTACTATTTTTTGACGATTTGCCAATCCTACCAGAAAACTTATATATGCTATGCATAATGAGAGAGCATATACTTGGTTTACATTTAGGACCTGTCTCCTTAACAAAAACATGCAAGAACTTATTTTATATAAACAATAAGAAATTGTTTAAAGAATTGGTTGAAAAACTTTGTCGCACGCAAGGCCCTATCCAATGCATCAGCCAGGCTTTTTGCTATCCCCTCCTTATCTGTACCTACGTGATGGTTCGTGCGAAACCAGTGTAGCTTTGAGAGGACTACCATGTACCTAGCTATACGACCAAAATTCTTATTACCAAGAAAGGGGAGGATCTTATTGACTTCATCTGTGGTCACTCTGTCCTGTGGTGAGATTGAAGCAGATTTAATGGAACCTTCATAAACGATTACCCTACTGTTTGGATCAAGCCTGGAATAAGCTTCAGATAGAGATCTCTCGTAAGCTGTTCCACTGATAACTCGGTAAGTCCGCCTGTCAGGTAAAGAACTCGCCCTCTCATCCTCATTCCTCCTGAGCTCTTCCTCTAAGTTGCTCTCAGATGCAAAATTGAAGTTGACATCGATCTGGGTGAGAAAAGAGATATCTCTCATCGCTGCACTAAGGGACTCATCTTCGGTAAGCTCATGCAAGCAAAGCTGTATCCACTGATTTGCCCATCTTGCGTATGATTCTCCTTCATCCTCTTCTTCTCCATCTTCTCTTCTCTTCCTTTTTACAGCCAGGCTAGCTCCTTGAATAGCTTTCTTAGGGACCTGAGCCATCGAGAAGATAGTTGGGCAATGATCCAGAACCCATGTTCTGATGAAACCGACGATGTCACTCTTGCTGTTGAGAGCCTTAGATTTCTGAGCTGCAATCAGTTCCTTACTCAGCCTCCCCATGATATCATCCTCTCTAGCAGATAATCTCCTTCTGGCTAGAGCTTCCTTAACCTTAGAGGTAGCTAGCTCCCTATCTGTGACCCATGCCTCGTGTATTTCCCTGATATTCTTAGCATTTTCGTCATAAATTGCAGCGTGTCGTGCAAGAGAAGCTGCGTAATTCCTCTCAACCTCCTCATTGTCTACTTCTCCCTCTACTCTGCCCGGGAAATGAGTACCCAAGGAAGCATGCAGATCTATTGCCAGCATATGAACTAATGACATGGCATAAAGAGATGCTGAAAACATTTTGAATTCTTTATGCTCAACACTTGCTGGATCATTGATTATACTAGCGAAGGACGTTTTGTTCGAGTTGGAGATGACATAATTCTTGGTACCAGAAAGCAGACCATAGGTAAACCTGGCATGTTCCTGATCGGTCCAATCAGTGAGTTTGAAGAAAAAGTTATCCTCAGAACTTTTAGGGTAATAAGATGGATCTATAACCAACCATTTGTTTTTCGATGTCAACTCCATGTCATCCTGAGCTAACCCAGTGCTACTTGATCCGTTATAACCCTCACGAGTGAGATCAATAAGATCTTGCAGATTTGTGTGGTTAAAGAAATCATCCTGAGGATTGGATGAAGCTCCTCCATCTTGTCTGCCAGGACCAGCTCCAGTGTCATAAGCTTCATCTTGATCATTGTCCTCGATATCACTCATTCTATGAAACAAATCACACATTAGTTATCCGAAATTTGCATTCAAAAAGTAAGATGCTCCCTAACTATAATAAGGTACTGTAGCAGATGAGATCTTCTTCTTCTTTTCTTGAGGTAGCTTTCTTGAGCTTCTTATTGTGGTAGCTGACAATTCGGTTATCACATATGTATTAATAGGTACTAGCATTAAATCAGTCTCACTCAAATTTACCAAACAACAACTGAAGGATTTCTCATTTCAGATGTAAAGCTCAATTAAGGCGAATTTTGTGCTTCGGCGATGATAACGGAAAGAAACAGATAATATATGATTCATGACAAAGAGAATTTAGGTATAAGTCAAAGCATCTAATTAATTGAGACTCTTGAAATGATAATTACAGAAGCCTTCTACATAAGAGATGGCATAAATAACAACGAAATAGTACATAACAGAAACATTGATCTGACAGCAAGCTGACAGTTACATTCAGATAAACATATGGGAGCATCTTACACCGTATACATATTGTTTAGTGATGTCGGTACTCCTTCTCTGACACTAGGTCTCTAAACCTCCTCTTCTGTGAAGCTTTGCTCCTCTTCATCTTCCTCGCTTAGTTCTGAAATCCTAGCTCCCTCGATGCTCCTGGAGTTATCACGCAGGTAGTCCTCCATCTGGGTGGCTAGAATTTGAGCACTGATGTCGCCCATTCCGAGGGACCTAGCAATATTCCCCACTTCATTTGGTGCTTCGGAAGAGAACTGAATTCGTTGGCTCAGTTGCCTGACATTCTTTGCAGTGCTCGCCTCCATAGCTAGTGCTAATCTCCTGAGTTTAGAGAAGATCAACTCATCGTAACCTGCCAGCGAGGTATTCATCTCCGTTACCCTCTGCCTATCCCTACCAAACATAGAGATTTCAGTCATTCTCTTATTCCCATCAGGAGAGAAGCATGGAGCCCTCGCGATAGTGGAGGTCGGGTGCATAGCACATACAAGCATCCCGGCGAGGCCGATAGATCGACATTCAGGGAGCACTAGCTGACTGTCCATGTTCATCCATGCATGGCTGCTGTGGTATGTGTATCTGTCATCCTTGCGGCAGGATAAGAAGCTTCTAAAGAGAGCAGTTGATTCAGCAGAATCAATCTTAAGCCTGTTGAAATCCACGTTCTGCTTTGCTCTCTGTTGTATAGCTGTGGTCTTCTGTACCGAGTCACGTATCTCCCTAAGTTGAGTTGTTGAGTACAATCCCCAACCTGGGCTGCTTATGTAGGTCATCGCTATCGCAGTTACGAGATAATACTTGGCCAAGTTTGTAGGAGCTGAGAGAAGTCGTCGCCTCCAAGGGGGTACACTAATTTGTTTTTGTATTTTAAGACAGAACTCGTGGGAGTAGACTGTGAGAAGAGATCCGTCTGTATGATAAACCGTGGATATAAGACAGAACTCGTGGGAGTAAACTGAGAGAAGATATCCGTCTGTATGATGAACCTTGGTTATTGAAGATACTGAACATAAGAATTGTAACCAATGGTTTTCACCTTTTTCTCATTAAAATTTTAAAATTTTAAAAATTATTAAACTCTTTATGGGAGTATTTTAAAAGAAAGTAAGCAATTTAAATGAATATTTTTTCTAAAAAGCGAGGATAGATGAATGTTTCAAGATTATAAATTTGAATCTATTTGAGGTTTCATTAAACAGGCAATTTCTATATCTTCAACTTTTTCAACTCATACTTTTCCTACTTTCTCTAGTTCTGAATTAGTAAAGGTGTATACAAAAGTGTCTAAATTTAAAAAACTAATTTCAGTGGATTTTTTGAATAACAAAGATGATTTAGTAATGATAAAAGTAAGCCTAGAGCAAATCTTTACAAACTCTCTTGACAGAAATCGTATATCAATCCTTTTTCAACTGATTAACTGGATAACTCAGTATTTTGACAGATTAGGAAAATCAAACACACAAAACACACCTAGTGATGAGCCAATAAAAGAATTAAGATATATGAGGAACTAAGTAAGGCAACATTAGAATATTTTGATAACAGACAAAGACGGGATGGAGAATTTATGGACTCAATTGGGGAAAACGGGGGATATATAGAAAAGAGTAAAATTGTGGGATGTTCGGATCCGGCAGCATATAGAAAAAATCGTGTGAGTTGCTTAAAAAAATATTTGAAACTCGTAAAGAAACCAACAACGGAATATGTAGGAATAGATTTGATTGATCCATTGATTTCATTTTTAAATAAACGGGTTCCAATCCTTAATGCTAAAGATATAGAGGATTTTGCTGCAATTTTTGGTTTTACTCTAAGAAGTCCTAATAAAATGGAAGAATTATTAAATAAAGTAATTGCGTTGAAAACCAAAATTCCTACGCCTTTGTATATGGAACTTTACGAAATTCAAAATAATATAAACCCAATATCTGAAAACCCTAGTACGGTTAATGAACGTGGAGTTACGAGCAGTGAATCTACAAACCAGAATTTACCGGACACTAGCCATACAAACCAGGGTTCAACATACATAGGATCAGACACTCAAGGTTCAACGACCTCAACCAACAACCTAGAAAACTTACAGACTGAAGATGATAGATTTGGGTTTTTACTAACAGAAATACAAGAAAATGAGAAAGACATAAGGACTTTAACCGCAAATTTTAGAAATTTGGAAAATGCTGCAGCAAAAGAAAGTTTATTACTTCTAGAAAATAAGCTTTTAGCGTTATCCCATAAAATTGAATCAAAACTCAGCAATGATAACAATAATGAAGAGGATTTCAGTACTAAACTTTTGCTTCTTACTCGTAAATTGGATGAATTGGATATAACAGGCTCTACACAGGGGAATGAACAATTAAAAAGTAAACTTGAAGAATTAGAAAAAAATCTAACACTTATGTTAGAGAAAAACCAAGCAAAAAACACGGAACAAAATGAGAATCTTATTATGTTAAAAAATGATGTGGATAATATAAAATTGGCTTTAAGCAACTCTATCACAATGTTTAATGATGAAAGAAATAAATTGCAAACATTTTTAGCTCCTTTACATAAATTAAGCAATGATGTGAGATTAAAATTGACAGTTTTAGAAAGAGAAAACTCTAATGGCATCCCAACTGAGAATAATTCACAAAATGTCCATGAACTTGTAAAACTAGCTCTACTTGTTGATACAATAAATAAATTAATTATGGAATGTGAGAACATTAAACTGCTATTGAACAAACCTAAAGAATCTAAGTTCCTTCCAAATATTCTTAAATATGCCCAAATTAAATATGTTTATTTTTCAACTTTAAATCCAAATATTTTCGTTATTGACTGGGATTATTACGATGAGATTACGGAACAATTCATGATTACACCACTGCCTATTTGTACTATGAAACAATGCCATATATATACAAATACAGGATTTGGATTTGGAAACGATTCTAAAGTATTCGATCAAACTAAATGTTTAAAGATAATACAAAACGAATATTTTTGCAAAAATGAAAAAGAAACTATGAATTGTCCGGAATATTTAAAATCTTGCGATATTGTTAAAACAGTAAGTTTTCAGTTGCCAAAAATGGTTAATGAAACCCACTTATACCTGTATACTTCTGGTCAAACTACCATTATGTCTATAGATCTACCTATATATGCAAACATTTTAATATCCTTTAACAAAGATACTACATTTGTGGTCAATAATATCGAATTTTTTGCAGCAGAATTTGATCAAGAGGAACAGATAAAAGTTAGACATTTAAAACTAGAGGACTCATTATGGAACGTAGAGATCTATTATACTCTTGTAGGCCTTCTTGGATTTGGTTTATCCACTCTGATTATTACAATTGTCACTGTCATTGTAGTAAAATTCAAAAAACGTAAACAAAGAAAATTAGTTCGGGTCAACAGATCAAGAGTATATTTTGACCCTAATGTGGATGAAACTGTATTTCTATAAGTCGAAATCATTAAATGTATTTCAGTTAACAAAAATAAAAACAAAAATATAAATATATATGATGATTAACCTAAAAAATATGATATCAATACTGTATTTAGATAGTTGTATTTTACATTGGAGAGTATCTACTATAAAGAACATAAAAATTTAAAAAATGATTTAAAAATGTAAATAAAAAAAACAAAAAAATGAACAAAAATTAGAAAAAAATAAAAATCATGTATTACCCATACTTGGTGAAGGTAAATAGGGAAATAAACAATAAAACAGGTTTGTAAACATATCTATGGATTAAGGATTAGTTATGTAAGGAAATATTATTGTATCTTGTTTACATTCCTGGTCGGTCAAAGATAAACATATTTCATATTTTTCTTAATTACAATACATTACATGGAACATATATATATACTTGCCGCATAAAGCGAGGATAGATGAATGTTTCAAGATTATAAATTTGAATCTATTTGAGGTTTCATTAAACAGGCAATTTCTATATCTTCAACTTTTTCAACTCAGAACATAATTAAAAATTTCTTATATTAAATTACACTTTAATAGAAAACAATTAAAAAGAAATAGATTTTTTTGAGGGTTACTTTTAGAAAAGGACAAAGATTTATTAGGTTTGTGAATTTTGATTTGAGTTTGGACAATTAGTTTGATACTGACAAACGAATATATAAGTTTTTATTATCTGAAAATAATTAAAACAAATAGTTTTCTTTACAGTTGACTTATTAGCATTTAATCATAAAACGAGATACTTCAAAAACAAAATCTTCAAAAATAACAACGGCAAAGCAACAAAACTAAGACGACTTCAAAAAGAAGACGAGAAAGAAGACGACTTTGAGGAATGAAGGTACCTAGAACAGAACGGCAGAACAGAACGGCAGAACCGAACCACTAAATCGGAGTCACGGAGAACAAAGTATTTCTGGTGTATTAACAGTAACCTTAACATACTGTTATTCAAGGATAACCCTACTGTTGTTGCTATGAAGAATCTCAACAAACCAAAAACTTTGATAAAAATGCTTTCGATGAGTCTACTTAAAAAAAGAATTCACACAAATTGTTTGTAAAGTTAAAAAAAATGGTTTGATCTTGGATAAAAATTTTCAAATAAATCCAAAGTAATTTTTTGGAATTTTCAAAAAAGATAACTACTTCAATAGAATTTTTGTTCTTATTTAACATCTTTGGTAATACTTTTTCAAACTCTTATTCATTTAGAGGGAGGGGAGTTTGTGACAAATATTCAATGAATATTTATGCATAATGCAGTAAATATTGATAAATCATAAACCCTTCTATCTATCTGTATTTCTTGCTTGTAAACATAACCTTAAGTTTAAACGATTCATGTTTTAAATCTTGAATTCCTGGCATTTACCTTGACTTTTGAAATGAAAAATACATCCTTTTTGTCTATATACTTCAACCTTTTTCAACGTATAGTTCTAGAGACTGGTTTACTAGACGTCTAAAAAACTTAGTAAAAACTTACAGTCAATGCCTTGTTCCATCGACCAATAGTAGATCAGCATAACCAGATAACCATGAAAATCGACCAATAGTGTGATGTACAACCAGAATCGTAACCAATGAAACTATGTAAAATAAATCTTTGTATAGCTAGTATATATATATGTTTTTACACAAACTGTAACCCTTTGTGATTTAGTATAAATACCATGTAAAGTTTATGTATTGCCACTCTTCCATAAGTTATTGTGAAATATACTTCAGACTGTCTATAACATCTTCTAAAAAGTAAGTCAATTTATAAATAACTATCTAAGAGTCATAATTTTTAGTACTTTAGATTATCCAATTGTTGAAGATAAAATGTTAAACTATTAGAAAGATCACTATTTGAGGAAGCTATTTTAAGAGAATTCAATTTAGTCTTAAAGAGTTACATAAAAGAATAACTAAGTTAGTTTAAAAATATTATACTTAAAACACATTGGAGATCAGAAGTACTAAAATTATAAATTATAATATACGTGCATTGTCACAAATGTCACATGGCAAGCAACAAGTACTCTGCTGAGAGGACCAACACTGTTGGCTGTTTCTGCCGGACTGAGCGGAAAAAAATTCAGGTAAAATCCTCTGGAAGTATAAAAAGGAAATTAGTTTTTGCCACAAACTCTAATGTTTTAATTTTCTAAATCTTTACAACCTGATGTTGTAGACCTTTGATATTTCAGATTCCGATACCGGAGATGATAGAGGCCTATAACCAAAATATGGGTGGAGTTGACCTTTTAGACAATATGGTCGCCTGCTACAGAGTCCCCTACCGAAAGAAGAAATGGTGGTTCAACATATACGTTTGGAGTCTCAGCATCAGTGCTGTGAACGCCTGGAGACTTCGTAATCGGGTAAAAAGCTATTATTTCTTTCATAATTAAAATGATAAACAATAGAATATTTCAAAAGAATAAACTGGACATTATTTTTTCACAGATTACTGGCAACAAAGAGCCCTACCTCAACTTCCTGCAAGAGCTGGTGATCCAGATGTTCAGCAAGTACGGCACCATGCCCCAAAGAACACGGTTCAGCTCAGGCCCCACCAATGGGTTAAGGTATGACGGCCTCAACCACTGGATAGTGTCCACTGAGTCTAACAGTCAGGGGAAGTCCAGTAGGAGGAACTGCAAGCACTGCACAAATGAGGGGAAGCGGGATAGCAAGACACTCCTCAAGTGCGAGAAGTGCATGGTCCCATTGCATCAGCACTACTTCAAGGATTACCACATGAATTAAAATGATTCTTATATTCTTATATGTATAACAATCGAGCTTATTTTAAGACTGTGCCTTCAAAGATCTCAAGAGTAAATCCAGCTTATTTTTAAACTGTGCTTCTCAAGAGTGTAAATCTAGTGTGAATCTTGTCAGATTGATTTTGTTTTTAACCTTCCAAAGATCTCTAGAGTAAATCGAGCTTATTTTTAAACTGTGCCTTCCAAAGATCTGAAAGTAAATAGAGCTTATTTTTAAACTGTGCTTCCCAAGAGTGTAAATCTAGCGTGAATCTTGTCATATTGATTTTGTTCTCTTTTTTTGAATATCTTATTTCCTTATGAATAAATATTTTTTTCTGGATTTTTGATTCCATCTTTCATTATTCTTAATATTGTCTTATGTTGTAGTTTTGACTAATATGAATATATGTGTTTTCAATAAAGAAAAGTGGAGATACGGAACCCGGTCAATATTGACCTGGTCCGAGCCGGACAAAATTGGCCGGCCTCTGTATCTCCACAACCCTTTATTGAAAAAAATTGAAACTTTAGATCTACTCTGTGGGCACTATAATGAGTTAACCCTGTGAATTTCAGCAAGATCAGAAAAAAAAATTTGTCTCGTCACTAATGGGTTAAGCTTTGCGTTGCTATTGTCTTTACAAAGACAGTTTTTGGGGAAAGTTCTGAACCAGGGGAGCTCGTGTGAAAACAGCCTGAGCTATCTTGTAGCTCCCCGGCCACAAAATATATATATGTAATTGTATAGTCATTTTTATTAATATGAATATTGTTAACTTGTGGCCTAATAAATGATTTGATTTGATTTGATTTGATTTGATATTTGAAAAATTACTTGATTTCTTGGACTCATATGAAGTCATCAACCAAGGAGAATATCCTCCACTACCTAAACTTGTAGACTTTATCTACAAGTTTAGAACTGAAATAGATGCACATGTGGCCAAAACCTATAAAGGTTCAAAGTACAATTTTGCTCAGACTAACGCATCATATGATGAGATTGAGACAGGCGGAAATAAGCAGATTTCCAGGATGACATTTCCTGTATGCTAAAAAAACTAATCATTCCACTGACAAATGTTTTAAAACAAAAACTTGCGAGGTCTGCAATAATAACGAACACTTAGGAAAATATTGCAAACTGAAAAAAACATGTCAAAAATGCAGAAAATCTGGGCATGTTTCTGCTAATTGTTTTATTCGCTGTAGGCCTTGCAATAGCCCTGCACACGGATCAGTACATTGTGATTTGTACCCTGGCCTTGAACCTTCACAGGTGGAGTGTCCCAGATGTGCTAACAAACTGTTTATCTAACTCTATCATCCTGCAAACAAATGTGTATCTTTCCCAAAAAACTAGAAATGCTCCAATGTTATAAAAATACAACTACCAATAAAGTAAACAATAATTATAATAACTTTGAAAATAATTTACATAATGAATATTTTTTCTGATGAAGAAAACCTATGTAGAAACAAAATTATTTTTCGTAATTTCAATTTTAACAAAGCATATAATAAAAGGTCTTATAGCAGTGAGGTTACAGTCCCTTTAATTATAAATAATGTAAAATTGTATGCTCTTTTAGACTCTGGTTCGAAAGTTTTATTTTCAGCCTAAAATATGCAGAAAAATTCTTTAAAAATTGGAAAAACTTTAAAGATGGATTTTATAAATTAGACTATGGAATTGGAGTTGAGGGTTCCCGGTTTAACATATTGGGTACAAAAATGTTTACAGTTCAAATTGGTTCAACCACTCTAGAATCATCATTCTCTATCCCGGAAAGGGGCACAGAGATAATTATAGGATTAGATCTTTTAAAATTGTTTAACATCTCAATGCATTTCTCATCCATCCATCCATCAATCCATTTATACTGTAATAATGAATATATTACATCGGAATTTACTGAAGACAAAAATACAATAACAAGTACATACAACAAAAAATGTGTCTTATATCCTAATGAAACAAAAATATATTCATTACAAAATAAAAATTTCAAGGATAATTCCACATACTTGTTGTATTCACATGAAGACTGTGCTTCAATTATAGTTCCCTCTACGTCAGTCTCAAATAATAGCAGTTTATAAATTATATTAAAAAACGATTCTAAGAAGAAAATGACTTTTAATCCTAATGTCTTAAAAATTGTAACTGAAATTGTTAATCCTGATGATATTTATGACTTAAATGATACAACAGCTAAAGACTTAATACTTGATTCTGAAATCCTGCCTGTACACTTTTATAGTAGAAACTGTGAGTTTAATAACAGATACAATAAAAAAATAAAGGAAAATATAGTTAAAATAAATTTTTTGAATAATATTTTTGATACAGACAAAAAAGAGGAAAAATTAGAGGAAAATAAAGATACACTTGAATATCTTTCACAATTACCTGGCTTGGATTTACCAGATATTAAATTTCCCATGAACAGTGCAGCAGATATTGTTGAGGAATATTTAAAGGACAAATATACAGAAAATCAAAAAATATTTCTGAAAAAAGAATTAGAAAAATATCCAGACCTTGTTTCTAGATATAGCTATGACTGTGGGTAAATGAAAGATATTCATGGTAATCTTATACTCATGGACATACCATTAACGAAAAAACTTCCGAATATGACTAAAACGTATAAACTGCCTGATGAAAAGAAAGCAATGAATGATATTTTGGATTACATAATATATTTCAACCTAGCCGAAAACGCTGATATTAATAATGTAATCGGAAGTCCATGCTTTTTAGTGGGTAGGCCAGTCAAAAATAGGGGACATAGAATTATATTTGATGTACGTGAGGTTAACAAATATGTGAAATCACCAGTTTCCACCTACACAGACTGTGTAACCACACCTTTGAAAACCATTATATCCAAATATGACTTTTTAACTTGTATTGATTTACGCTCGGCCTACTACACGATACGGCTGAGCCAAACTGCACTTGAATCAAACATTAGCCAAGTTATAACAGATGAGCGATGTGTAAGATTTTACTCTCCTTTGACCGGATCGAATTCTGTGCCGCTTTTTTTTTACTGACACCATAAATAAACAAATGAATATTAATGACTTTGGCCTATACGATCCTCTAAGCACGCCTACTAGCTATTTTAAAGCATGGTTTGATGATCTTTCAATTGCAACTATGGGCGATGAAGACCTACACAAAAAACATCTGGAAATTTTCTTATACAGAATACACAGACTGGGGTTAAAAATTAATTTGGAAAAATCTGATTTTTTTATTAAAGTTCAGTCTGACAATTTTAAACTTTTAGGATTTGAAGTAGATAAGGGAAAAATTATACCAGACAAGGCAAAGTTAAATGTATTAAAAGACTTTAAGACTCCTAAAAGTACACAAGATGTCCAGAAATATCTTGGGTATATCACATTCATCAGACATCTTTTACCATTAAAAATTTTAGATCCTACAACTGTTTTAACTCCATTAACCTCAGCTACTACTCAATTTAAATGGAATATTGAACATGAACAGGCTTTTACCATGATTAATCAATTATTGCATTCAAGTATAAGCCGGTCCCCAGCCGAATCCCAGACAGATAAAATAATATACTCGGACGCTTCGGATAAATTACTGGGCGGTATATTATTTTCCTATAATTTTGATTACTTTGAGAATGACCCGCCAAATGATCTGTTAGATATAGAGTATACATACAAGGACCATTTAGAATTTTACAACATTAACTGTAAAACATTTACATCAAACAAAAAAGAGTATTCTCAATTTAAAAATTTTATTCATTTACTTTATAGCTCCCGTCAATTCCATAATGTTTATGACTGGGATGATAATAACATCTCAGACTTTTTGAATGATATTTTTGGGTCAATAATAAAAGTTAGGACATTTTTTACATCTTCAAAACATCTAAATGATTTTATAGAAACAGTATGTTTTAACAAAATATCAGATGATTTCTTTATGGAACATTTTATGGAATTTCTGGCTATAACAAGTATTCTTTTTAAAACTAATATAAAAATAATATTTGGCAACAAAAGAATACAGAAAAAAACATTTTTTTTGTTTAATAGAAGAGTATGAGAATGATGTTTTAATTGGATTTGATACAGAATATCAAAAATTTCCACTTTTTTACGTTCTTGAATCTTTTTATTCAAACAACTTAGTAATAAGATCTAATAACAAAATCCGTTCTCAATATACTGATCCAAAAATAGTATTTAAGCATTTTAAAGCCACGCTAGACAGCAATAAAGCAAAACGACATATTAAGCTTGTGTAAAACTGCAAGTTTTAATTCTAACTATGTTTCTCTGTATGATTAATAATTGATGATAAAGATATAATTGGCCTTGAATCTGGGAACTATCTAGCCTGTATACCCATCATCAATTATCGAGATCCCTGGGTAAAAGATCATAGAAACATCTAAAACTTCTAGAACCAGCTAGAAGAAAAGATGCACGCAAAGAATACGTGAGTCAGAGAACCTTTTCTCAAGAAAGTTCTAGAATAATTTATCAAGCAGCGCCAAAAAAACAAGCGCAACAGCTTCGAGAATGTTCTAGAACAATCTATCATGGTTTACTATAAAAAGCCAGGAAAGACTCTAACTCGGGTTAGTTAGTAGAATAGGTAACACTTTTACACTTGGTGCCTCTCCCGGTTTGATCTTCCCTGGGTCGTGGGGTGCAATTATATCTTTGATATAGTTCTAACTATTGAACCGTTTCTGTATTTTTCTATTGTTCTCAGATACGTAACATGTGTAATTACATTGCTATAATTATTGTCTTAGCTATATTATTGATGACATATTTTAAATTTTCACACACTGTCTATGATACTATACAAACTTTAAAGAATTTAACTAATGTTGTGTGAATGTATAAACAATTACTATTATCCTAACTAACCATTAGTATATCCTCTTAGGTATATTAATTATTTAATATTAGAGAGCATTTAATTGCATATATATATACACGTAAGGTCAATAAACAATTGAAGTTTCATTTAATAATTGTGGATTACAAACAAATATTGCAGTATAATATAATACGCAATATAATCTATTCCTAATAAAGCGCAAGGCAAAAGACATAAGCACAAGAAATACCACACTTAAAGGCCCGATATATTACTAATACAGGGCAAGGCAAAAGACACAAGCATATGCACATAGCACTTAAAGGCCCGATATATTCCTAATACAGCGCAAGGCAAAAGACATAAGCACATACATATAACACTTAAAGGCCCGATATATTCCTAATACAGCGCAAGGCAAAAACATAAGCACAAAACTATAACATGTAAAGGCCCG